TAGTCAACTCACCTTGGTTAAGTTATGAGCTTATGTGGCAGTCTTATTCGAGGTTCTCTGTCCCATACTTAAGTAGGGGCAGCTTAGTCCTTGTACATTTTAATTAGAGCCTAATCACTATTAAGAGGTCGAATGATAGGGTTTAGCTATCAGGTTCAACAATTCTTTCATCTTCTTCTTCTTCTCCTTCTCTTTCTTCTTCTCCTTACTGGTTCGGACTACTGTAGCAACAGTAGAAACAATGGGCCAATGGTCCAAAGTGGTCCTTATTCTAGTATGATTCACTATGTCACTATAATACAAATGAAAAGGACAGAAGGCACACAACTACAAAAGAGGATTTACTATGTCCTAATTATAAGAAACAATAGTATGGGGGTCAATATGTATATGATGTCCACTTTCTAAATGTACTTAAATAAATAATTCACTGTTCTTAAAAATGAAATGATCATTTCAAAAGGGATTATAGAAACACATCCAATTCAAGTCTTTTTATCAGTAACACATTCATGAGAGGTTAGACAAGATCAAACTCAGATTGACACAAACATGAATAATTACACTCCAATACCAGTACCACCATTAACAAGAATCAGAAGTGGGAAAATATCAAACCTCAGCAAAATGAAGATGGTAGTCTCCCAGCTGTTTATCAGCCCATTTCAGAACGGGAAATAGGAAGGATTGTAAAAAAGTCAATTCTTGTGATCCCTCTTCACTTTCAACCTTGGAACGAAGACTATTCAAGTGCAACCTCTCTTGTGGACCACGTTGTTCCTTCAACGGTATTTTCTTCAACTGCTCAATGGCATGTTGCAGGAGTCCTAGTTCACCTGTAATAACAAACTGTATATTCACAAGAAATTCAAGTAAGGGAACTGTCACCAGAAAATGTCCATGGCTAAAATAAGAGATATAAAGATCACAATTGGGAAGAATTAGGAGTCACTGCATTCAAGAAATAAGACAACGAGATCTCAACAAAATTCAGAAAACTCCTTAGTTGAACACAGGAAAAAAAAAAAAAAAAAGGAGAGAAGCCAAATTAAGATATACTACTAAAGCAGAAAATCTCCACATATAACAGTAGGCTTCACCTACAAGTATTAACAAGAAAACAAAAAACAGAGAAAATAGAAAATAAAGCAAGAATAGTTCTATCATAGCTGTTGACTATGGTAGAAACTGAAAAAATACTCTTTATTTACTCCTTAGCAGGAGAAAACAATGAAATAGAATATAATAGGGGTTGGAGATTCACTTAAGGCTAAGCTGATGGATTTATTGCAAGGCCTAAGTTTTTCTCAGCAGTCTAACTTCAAGAATTTGGAAGTTGAAGGAGATTCAAAATGGTTGTACCCTGGACTACTTCTAGACACCATGTGCCTTGGATTTATAGGCATACCCTTATGGAAGTAGATAACCTGTCAAAAGATTGGAATGCAACTTTTGTTTGGGTAAGAAGGACTGCAAATGGTTTGGCTAACACATTAGCTAAGCAAAGGATATGCAGGCAGCAGATATTTGTGCTTTATTGTGGTTCTCCCCATTTGGGGCTTTGAATCATTGTTCACTGTGTCTATGGGTGATTGGATAACCACTCTGCTGTAATTTCTGTTTCATATAATAATACAATTTATAAATTTTCTTGCTGATCAAAAAAAAAAAAAAAAAAACAGGATTCTATTTACAACTGATCAAAAAAATGATAGGATTCTCTTTATAAGAACTGTTTTCTTTTTCATAAATGATGTAAAACAGAAAGGTAGTATCACATGATTACAAAATAAATCCAACAGAGGCACAAAATGCAGCCCCAGCCAGAAACAAAATTACAACAGAGCCCAGAATAATTCAGACCTATGCACCCCCTGTTTTGCAAAGAAATCAGCCATCCTATTGGCTGAATGCCTTTCCCAATGGTCAGATATTGTCATATCTCTAATCAGCCATTTGAATATTTTCATAAATTCCTTGTATTTCCAAATTACAGTTTCAGGTTCCTTCAGCCACCCTATTATCAGTTTAGAGTCACCTTCAACTAACAGTCTGTCATAATTTAATTCTCTAGCAATCTGTATTCCTTGTAAAAGAGCTTGGAACTCTGCAAAAACTGAGTCCCCTACTCCAACTGGACCTGAAAAAATAGCAGCAACATGATCTTCAAAGTTTCTAAACACTCCCCCTAAACCAGCTGGGCCTGGATTCCCTAGACTTATGCCATCAAAATTCAGTTTGATAAAACCTTCTTCCAGGGTTTTCCATGCCACAATTGGCTTGTCCCTTGTAGTAGAACTTCAAGCTACAGCTTCCAAATTCATCCACATATCATCAAAAGATAAGTCAGAGAAAATACTTAAGGACTTGGCTAACACAATAGCTCTATATAAAATGCATTCTTTTATCAATCTCTATATAAAATACATTCCAGCACTGCCTCCTCACTTCTTTCTTTTTTATTGAACATCTACCATTCCTTTCCTCCCACACCGTGCAAATCAATGCAGCCCTGATACAGCACAAAATTTCACCTCTTCTCTTTGGCAGTTTGGCCAACTGAAGGTCGTTGAGTCAAAGAGACTTCCACCAAATTTCATCCAAACCAACGAAGATTTGACTGGTCAAAAAGTCACTTCTTTTCTGGTGGATGGTGCATTCTGGAGGTCAATCATCTGACTCCTCTTCTTCAATTTCTTTCTTTTAGACTTGTTGAGAATCATCTTGTAAGTTGTAACCATTTGCATCAACTACCAATGGATGTGTCAGAACAGCTGGATCTAGCATTGCCAACTTTTTCTTTTTATCGATTACTAAATTTTGATCAACTAGAAGAAAAACAAAAGAAAAGGTAGACAACATATACACACTGGATAAAGGGCTAGAAAAAAGGAAAAAAAACAAAAAACAACTTCCAAGCCATCCTACAACTATGAGTAGACCACAAAATCTCTAAAGGACAACTATGGCAATGAGCTCAAAACCCAACTAAGTGCCCACATCAGAGGCACAGCAGTAACCAAAAAACCTGTTGAGGAATTACAGTTATTTGTTTATTTTATTTAGTTGGCATTGTTGAACCCAAGGCCCATTAGTTTAGGGGCTCATTAAATTGCTGATTTTTAAGTTGTTGACAGTAACCAACCTATCAAGGGTATATTTGACATTGTATACATCCTTATTTCCCAAGTATAAAAGCTAATGGAGAGGGTGGACATAACATTATTCGCTTTTCTCACTTTGAGCTGTTTCATGCAGGCCTAGATCAGCCAACTGCAGGAAGAGTAAGGAGCTGATTGTTCGATCAAGGAAGGGCCAGTTCTCGGATTTTTTACGTGATTTAGTCATCAGGAGGGTGATTTGTGATTCGGCATCAAAATCAGGAAGAACTTGAATGAGAGGAAAAGTCACAATCAGAGTGGACTCTTTATTTTTGACCTACAGTTAGGCGCTCAGGGTTTTCTAGGTTTCTTGAGGCTTCCTATAAGGGGTGATTCAGTTTCTGGCTGGTTCTAGAGCCCCTGGTGAGACCAATAGCCTCTTCTCTTGTTTCTATCAGTTCCCAGGAAAGGAGAATTCTCTCCAGGTTTTTTTCATAGGAGTTTTTTCATTGTATAAATGGGACCGATCTGATCCAGGAAGTTTTTTTCTTGCTTTCTACTACTATTTTGAGTTGTTTGAGATAGCATGGAGGGCTGTAGTGTTTAAGAGAAATTAACCAGTGACTTTGGAATGGGAGTGGTAGGTACCAGTGTGAACCTTTGGGATCTAGAATTCTCACTATAGTTAGATAGTACAAACTATCTGGAATGGGCACAATCAACCAAGATGGCCATTGGTGCACATGGGAAACTAGGATATATCACTAGAGACTAGAAGAAACCTAATACAAACTTTTCTCAGTGGGTGCAAGAGAATTACATGGTGATGACTTAGCTGTGTAAGTCTATGTTACCTCATATTAGTAAAAATTTATTATGGGCTAATACTGCTAAGAAGATTTGGAATGGAGCAACTGAGACTTATTCCCAGAATCAAAATGTGGCTGGAGCTTATCAATTAAGAAATCAGATTATCAATACAAACCAAGGAGATAGACCTCTTGCAGTGTACTTCCCTACACTGAAAACCCTTTGGCAGGAGATGGATCACTTGGAGATTGTTATTTGGAAGAGTACTAAGGATGCAGCTACATATCAGAAATTGGTAGAGAAGAATAGGGTTTTTGAGTTTCTATTTGGGTAAAATCCTAAATTTGACATTGCAAGACAGCATATTTGTTTCATTTTTTGTCTACATCTTTTTCATAGTGTATCCACTGATATGCTACTGATACGCCTCGATACACCACAAATACACCCATGATATGGTCTGATATGGTGGAAAAAAGATGATATCATTGATTTTCTACCGTACCTCATATTGAATTTTAAAAGATACTATATGATATGCCCCATATCGGGCGTATAGTGTCAAAATTTAAAACCTTGCGGAGGAGAGTGAGAATTCTATTCCTCTTCTTGTCCTTGCTCTTGCTTCTTTACACCATTACCTCTACTCCTTTACCTACACCATCAGTTGCTTTACCTAATCCATTGTGGTCTGCCTCACAATTCTTTTCATGCCAAAGCAAGAGGGTTGATTCTACTCATGCTCCAACAAGGGAACCTGCACCACTTCCCATCGATTCATCTAAGATTCTAGGTCCAGCTAGGGGTGTCAAGTGGACTAGATTTGGTACAATCCGGTCCAATCCAATGTGAGTCCATTATAAATGGACCAGGTCCAATCCAATCCAATGAATGTTTTCGGCCAATTTGGACCGGTCCAATTCAATGTCTGGACCATCCAATCTGTTCAAATTCATTTTGATTAGATTGGTTTCAACCTAAACCCGGTCCATTGACACATATATTCTTATCTTATATCAATGGATCAAATATTGGCTTAATCCAACCCAATCCTATATAAATTTGTTATAGACGGGCCAGGTTGAATCCAATCTATTTGATTAGATTGGTTTCAACCTAAACCCGGTCCATTGACACATATATTCTTATCTTATATCAATGGATCAAATATTGGCTTAATCCAACCCAATCCTATATAAATTTGTTATAGACGGGCCAGGTTGAATCCAATCTAATAAATATTTTGGACCTGATTGGTCCAATCCAATATGTCTTATTGGTCCGTCCAATCTGTCCAAATTGATTTTGGACTAGACGGGGTCCAATCCAAAACCAGTCCATTGACACCCTTAGGTCTGGCTAATACAGGTCTAGGTATTTCTCTTGTTCCTACTAATATCTATATCCCTATTGATGATACTCCTGTGCCTAACACCTCAGATGTTGATGATCCTGTTCTTCCTATTGCTCTTTACAAGGGGAAGAAAAAGTGTACAGCCCATTGTATTTCACACCATCTCTCTTACAGAAATTTATCCCCCCTACCATGCCTTCCTCTTTTCCCTTGATTTTGTGTCTATCCCTAAGAATGTCAATGAGGATCTCTCCACACCCGAGTGGAGGACATCCAAACAAAAGGAGATGGAGGCTTTAATTAGAAATCAGACATGGGAAATTGTTGATCTACCTACTGATAAGGAGATAGTTGGATGTAAGTGGGTGTTTACTGTAATGTACAAAGCTGATGGTAGTGTAGAGAGGTACAAGACAAGGCTGGTTGCAAAAGGGTATACACAAACCTATGAGATAGATTATCTAGAGAGCTTTTCAATTGTGACTAAAATGAGTTCGATTCGGATTCTCTTGCCATTGTGGCTACTTATTCATGGTCGTTATTCCAACTTGGTGTTAAAAATTCCTTCCTTAATGGTGACTAGAAGCAATGACCCAAAGCATGGTTTGACAAGTTTAGGGGAGCATTGAGTCACTTTGGATACACACAGACTCAACCAGATCATACACTCCTTGTGAAGAGGAGAGGATTCCTTGTGTTAGTGCTGATTGTCTATGTTGACGACATTTCAGTTACAAGAAATGATCTAAGTGAGATTGATACCTTAAAGAAGTCATTACAACAAGAATATGAAATCAAGGATCTGGGTGAGTTAAAATATTTTCTGGGTGCTGATGTTGCAAGGTCTAGACATGGGATTTTCATCTCGAGGAAGTATGTGTTGGATTTGCTACAAGAGACTAGGAAGCTTGGAGTCACCAACTAACACTCCTATTGATCAAAACCACAAGGTTAATGCCTCATATGGTGAGTTGTGAAGGATGTAGGGAGCTATCAGAGATTGGTGGGCTATTTGATGTATTTGTGCATGACCCATCTAAATATCTCTTATGCCGTCAGTGTTGTGAGACAGTACATGCATGCTCCTCGGACTCGGCATTGGACAGCCACTGACAGGATTCTTGCAAACCTAAAAAACTTTTTTTTGATAAGTAAAAGCAAAATTTTATTAAAGAAACAAAAACTAGATAAAACCAAGAAAACAGGTGTGAAGATAACACCCCACTAATAAGCAAACTCCCACCCAAACTGAAATAAAACTATAAGAAAATCTCCAAAGACAGAAAATTTGCACAAAGACAAAAAAGGAAAACTGCAATAGTTAAGCACATCTAACCTTCAATCTCTCCAAACTCTTCATGCCCTCCTTCCTCATCCCAAATTTCTCCAACTACACTGTCAACTTTCATCAAGCTTTCATCTTTCCTCTTCCTTTTGAGGGCTTCAAAAGCTTTCCTAACAAAGCGCTCCCAAAAAGAATAAGCACAAGGACTTGCCAATTTCCACCTCTCTATCCACTAACCTCTTCAAGTCCACACTTCTCTTCTTTTTCTCCTCCTCCAGCACCACGAGAGAAGAAAGCTCAAGGCTCTTATCTTCATTTGAGCAAGTCAACTTCTTTACCAAGCCATCCTTCTTTAGATCATGATCTTGGGGATTTGCCAAATGAAACTTGTTCTCATCTTTAACCTGCAGATCGCTTCTCCACTTGGGGGTTCTCAAAATAAGAATTTCTAGCTTTCACTTCTCTTCTTTTATAAATTCTTTTATATCTGTTCATCAGCCCTGCACCTACCAGATCATCTTTCAGTCTTGATAAAACCATTGTAACATGAACCACATTAGAATTACTTGAAGCTCTGGGTTTTTTTCAGAGTCACCAAAACATCGCCCTTAACAGCCCAATCGTTCTCTTTTCTCCTACAACCCAAATCAACGCCTAATCTCCCAATAGCCACTTCAAAAGCTGAAGAAGCAAAGTCATTCCCTATCTTAACACCATGAAAGATATTTTCAATCAGACTTACCTTCTTACCTTCTCCTCCTTCTAAATTGTCTCCCTTTTCCTTGTCCCCTCCCCGTTCCTATTCATAAAGCCACCTCTTCTACCACTTCCTCCGCCTCCCCCTAGTCAACTCTCCTCCCCAACTCCCAACTCCAAAACCGATGAACCTCCCCCATTCATAGTAGAGTCTAACACCCTATTCCTCTGACAAAACTCTGGACAAGAAACAGAGATTGTGCCTGGCTCACCACTGAGAGAGTCAGAAGAACAACACATAATGAAAATCAACTTGGCTTGCAAAAGAAACTCAAGCCTTGAAAATGACTCACGAACCACGGACCTATCTCAACCTGCCAAAGAACCAATAATTACAACCTCCAACAAACATGTGAATGCAGTTACCGAACATTCAAAGGAGCACACCAATCTTGGAACCAACAGCCACTTGCCCTTCTCTTTTTCACTTCAAAAACCAAACTTAGCTCTAACTTTACCTCAGGCCCCACCCCCCCTTAAACTTACTTAAAATCTTCACCCCTAAATGTTTCCCACCCAAACCCAACAAAGCCCCTTCAGTCCCTTTGTGTACCTTCTCCTTCTTAGACTCAGGTTGACAGTGCACTGTACAAGTCTCTTCCCAAAACAACTCCCTATTTACCCCTTGTTTGGGCAAAGTGTCCACCAAACCATTAGCTGATCTTCCAGCCCATCTGAAGCTGACCTCAATTTCTGTTGCTAGATACCTCACCTCCCCCATAGCTTGTCTATGGCTCCAAATCCCCAAACTATTTTCTTGCAACCATCCAACCATCCAACTCCATGTACAGCAAGAGGCCTATACATGAGACAAGGATGTACAAGTATACTGTATCTGGGCCTTTCTACAGAAACAACTCAAGCCATTAAATAAACTATGGTTTAAAAATTGTTGTGTGATTAAAATACTTGCGATGAGGTACCTCCCTGAACAGCTTATGGACAGTAATCCAGGAATGAAATATTGTTACTGACCACCTTATTTACTGATTTTTCCCAGTTATCAAACAACCTGTTGTTCCTCTCATTCCATAGCACCCAAATTACCACAGGAGGTATTATACTCCATAATGCCCAATCCCTCTTGTTCAGCCCCAGAAACTTCCAGCTTGTAATGAGTTCTCTAAGCAATTGAGGGCACCAATTGTAACCCCACAAAAAGAGTACAATCCATAGAACTTAGGATGATACCCCTATGAAGTATGCATCAAAGACTCCTTCAAGGGAATCTCCCAAAGGACTGAAGCATAATATGATTTATGACCAGTGTTCTAAAAGGCATGCCTGGGCCTATAGGCTAGGCACATTTCAAGGCATGTGCCTTGTCTAAACCCAAGCATAATCCCTGTCACAATGTGCATGCCTGATGCACCTTGCACCTGAGCCCAGGCACGCACTTTTTAAATATATCTTTGTTTGGCTATTTTTGTGGATTCACACTTGTATGGTGGCTTATCAACTTCTGAATTACCTTTTATTGCTATTTGTACACTAACAATGGTCAATTTACCTTCTTCAAAAAAAAACTTTTAAAATAAACAAAAACAAAAATTTTTCAAATACTTAAGCCTCAGCTCTTGCATATAGGATCACAAATAGCAATTTTTTTAAAGAAGCAACAGCAATACAACTATTACCTGATCCTTAATCCTAAAATACAATGAACCACAACTAAAATCACAAAATCCATCACTTTATATATACTGGATAAGAATTTATGTCAGGGGGTGCTACCCCAAACCCCCTCATGGACTTGTTTGGGCTTTGCCTTAAGGGGCTTTCACAGAGGCAAAGGCCAATCTCCTACGATTGGGAATACAAGATGTTTAACATCACACCAGAAACTTCAAGTAACGCAACTAGCAGAGAAATAAATAGATTGAAAGTTTCACATGCTTGAATTATTAAGGGCTTGAAGCACTTTGCTATAATCTACATATGTTTGCTTTCACTTCCATTTCACTACAAATAGGTTTTATATGTATTTTAATTTGAGCCAATAGGATTTTTAAAACATTAAATTTTTTTTAAAATTCAAACTTGCAGTTCCTTAATGTAGTTTTTAATTTTTAATTTTATTTTTTTAATTTTTTATTTGTTTTGAATTTTTCAGAAATTTGCACCTTGCCTTATGCCTTCGATGCAAAAAGGCCCTTGGGCTTTTCTTGTGCCCTGCTCCTTTACAACACTGACTATGACCAAGAAACTAATAAAAATATAACTAGCAGTTTTGGTTTTGTAAGACTTCATATTAGTTCAAAATAATCTACATAATTGTTTCCAAAGAATAAAAACAAGTTAAGCTCACATACCTGATGAAATAATACCCATGCATAGCAGGTGTAGTGGATGGTCTCCGTAATTCCTAATATTCGCCAAGTTAATTTTAGGAGCTCAAGAATTTCTTCAACTTCCTGAGTAAAAGAAAAAGAATAAACAATAGCTGGTGTAAGTAAACAAGCTAAATTTAGGTGTGTCTATAAAAGGATGAATAAGCTGATTTTTCTTCTAGACAGGATGACCTCTGTAAGCTTTCCCTCATCCAAAATGTCAAAGACACTGAAGAGAAGTTTTTCATACAGCCTAACATTGAGATGATAACCATCTGCCCAATGGCATACTTCACCAGTCAAGTCACCACGAGCTGGCCTTTCAGCAAGTGGAATGGCAATCTCTCTAAGAGATCTTAAACACTCGGTACGTTGCAGTTCACCGGTAGATGATGGAAGAGACTGAAAGATAAAACACAAATTAACCAAGAAAGATAAAAGAATAAAAATCAGTACCAAGATGCAGCAAATATGTCAACCTAAAATTTAAATAAATAGTAACAATAAAATATGCCATCAAATTGTAATAAATAGTAGCTATGGGAACTTGGACAGGTTGAAAGAACATGAACGAACCAACTTTACCAGAATTGCACCATCATACCAACGATTGGGCTTGGGATGGAAGCTACTAAGTTGGGCCTGGGTTGAGTATAAAACCTAACCCAACCCAATCCCTTTATATATGAGTTTATGCATCATAATATACCTCTATTGATTTTAGCCCCCCAAAAATTGTGCAACATCTTAATACAAATTAAATGGCCCAACTCAAAGTTCAATAAATTAGATTGAGACTAATCTCAGTTTGAGAGCCTCGATTTTATTTTTGGGTTGAGCGGCTTGCTAGGCCTTCAGGCTACCAAAGTTGCAACATATCAAAAAATAGTCCGAGACTACAAGTTCAGGATGATAGTCACAAAATGCAAATGAATAAAAGCATTCAAATAATACAGGAATAGAGCACCAAATGAGGAAGAAGGATCTCATGTCTAGCACATCACAAAATCCAATTGGAAAAACTACTAAAATATGTACCTCAGATTCCTCTATCTTTCTCAAAAGAACCCTCAAGTCACTTGCCTTACGCCCAGATTCCCCAAATCCAACAGCAGGATGATTTAAAAGCCCTTCTTCCAGCATATTTAACTATACCAGAACAAATGTAAGAACTATTATTAGAGATTAACACACACACAAAAAGAAAGCATCAAGCTACAATATATTCATATTATTTTGCAGACCTGCCTCTTTTGCCACCGCAAATATGACTTCTTGTCAGAGAACTCTGTTCGAGAAATACAACACAATAATTCCAAAGGAACCAAAAGGGTATCCATTCTTTTTCCAACTTTCCCTACAAGGGAATTAAGTAGGCCTTGCCTTGTCCTGATGTCCATTGCTTCTGAAATCTATAGAAAATATTCATAACAGTTAAAGAGTAACATAAACAACATGTTTAATTAGACTTGTTTTGTAGGAATCAGAAAATCAATCAATAGAAAATAGTTTGTATCAATGAATTAAGAGGAAGAGAAGAGAGAGAAGAGAGAGGAGAGAGAGGAGAAGCATCAACCTTCAGGTGCATGCACAGTCCCCTTTCTATTTATATGTGCATGCGCGGTCCCCTTTCTATTTATATATATGAGCATGAATACAATAGAATACTACTATAACCCTAACAGAAGCACTATAAGAGAAGTAAAGTACAAGGGAGGTATGGCACATGAGATCTTTGAATTTCTCAGGTTAAAGACTCTCTCAGCGAATTGGGTATTTCTTGGGATGAACGATTGAAGTTGTACTGTGACAATCAGGCAAACCATTAAAGTTGCCCATAATGCATAATCTAATATAACATGACAGGACAAAACACACTTCAGTAGATTCCAGAAATAGGTTTTGAATGGGGAGGTATGTCTACCATTCATGGAGACCAATCAGCAATTGGCAGGCATATTTACTAAACAAGTTGCACAGCCGCCATTTGAAGACAACCTTGGTAAACAGGGCATAATTAATATCAATGCTCAGTTTGAGGGCACTGTAGGAATAACTGAAAGATTTTGGTTTTTGTCCTTTTTCTTTACTAGGGGTATTTGTCTTTTTCATTTTTTATGACTAAAGGAGGGTGTAAGGTTTATCTATTTTTGTACAGAGCAATGTAGAAGTGAATAGAACCAGTTGTGGAGAGGATCTTTTCCACTCCAACCTATAACATTCTCTTATTCTTTTACTCTGCTGCTGTATCGCTCTTTCTTTATTCCAAGTTCTCCAAGTACTATCATGTTTTGAGAAAAGGGAACTTTCTAATCAAAAAGAATTTAGGGGGGAGGGGGGATTTACATGAAAGATGTACAAGAAACAACAACAAACAATTACAAACGTAAAGTATAAGCACTGTACAATTCACTTCTATCCAACCCTAATTTAGAAAGAATATCAGCTAGAAAGTTCAGTAAAGTGCAAGAGAGTTCTCAGATTTCATTCAGCAAATGATCAAGTCTCCAGGGGCCCCACTCAGAATTGGAGATCTAACTGATTATATCCTAAGTTCTCCTTCCACCAGCAGAGGCCTGACATTAACAGATTTGATAAGCCTTAAACCAATGAGGAGAGCTCTAGTCTCGGCTTCAGAGGAGTCAGCAAAGACAATAGATCCACCGAAGAGCATCTGAAATATGCTCCCCAATCCCAGATGATCCCATATGGCTATCAGTACATCTGCAGTTACCATCAAATTTCAGATAGAAACTCACAAGAAGGCCTTGGATCAGAAGGAAGCTGGAATCAATGAGCAGGATCTGGATTCTGGAGAACAAATGATTTCAAAAAATTACATCTCAACTGATGAAGACTACCACCCTAGGGTGGGTTCGTAATGAAGATGTCCTTGGCAGTATAGACACATCATGAGGGAGATTACCAAGCTAAAAAGGGATAGGTTTGTTGCTGTTCAGTGGACTTTTAGAGCTGCCAATGGACTGGCAAATGGGTTAGCAAGAGAAGGGCTTGAAAGAGAGAATTTATTCTGGGGGAATGGTTTTTTACTTGATATATTGCTTATATGGTTAGAAAAAATTGGAGTTAGGCCATCTCAATCTCTGGGATGGCTGGTTTTAAGTTATGGTTATTCATCAAAATATAGACCAACACCCTGGAGAAGCGAGGAAGTGATCATCCAGTAGATAGTAAGATGAAAAATTGGTTTTTCATCAATGCCAGAAATATATTCATTAAAGAAATTAGTGAAATACAAAAAGGGAGCGGTAAACTCTTAACTCTCCCCAAACAACATGCACAAAAAAGATAAATTACAAGATAGCCCAAAACATATGATCCCTGCCCACTCCCTGTTTAGCCAACACATCAGCAAAGAAATAAGCATCTCTTTTAACCCAATTCAGTTTAACTTCAATTCCTTGTGTGAGATGCCTAAACTTCCTTTTTTCACTGATGTAGTCCTACCACCCTGACTCCTCCTTTTGAAGCCAGCTGACAACCAACTTTGAATCCACTTCAATTATCAATTTAGATAAGTTCACTTCCATAACAGCAAAGCTTTCAGCTCTCAAAGAATCTCCAACACCTATAGGACCTGAAAAAAAGAGCCAATTCTGCCTTCCTCAATCTTGAAAACTCCTCCTATGCCTGAGGGACCCAGATTACTTTCACTACTAACACCAAAATTCAGCTTATTAAATCCACAACTTGGGAGAGAACAAAATGGCCTAATAATAATAGGTTTCAGTGGAGCAGAATCAGAAGCCAACCTCCAGTTCCTCAACCATTCAGCAGCCAAAACTCCTTCAAATAATCTTAAAGTTTTCACCCAATGGACGCTAATAGTGATGGCTTCAATAATGGCTTCCCTACTCCTCTATTTTTCTGCACAACTTCTCTGGTTCATCCCTTCCCATATTGACCAACAAACTGCAGCTCTCGTACATCTCCATAAGATTCTTCCCCTCTACTTTTGCCAACTAACAAAGGTAGGGCGAACAAGCTTTGTACATTTGGCAGGGGGTTCCACTTACACCCAAACAAGGATAGAAACCACTCCCACATTAAAGATGCTAAGGAGCAAGAGATTAATAAGTCATGGGAAGATTCAGTATCAGCCTTACAAAGGATACACCCATGAGGAGAGATAAGCACAATTAGGTATTTTTCTTTGGAGTAGGTTACATGTGTTAATTCTATCCAGAAACACTTCCCAGCAGAAACCTTCAATCCTAGGCAGAACCAGTTTACCCCAAACCTCTTCAACCAAAAAAGGTTGGTTGAGGCTATCACCAGCTCGAATTAGGGACAAAAAGGAGGCACAAGTGAAGGTACACGAAGGGGAAGGAGTTCAGATACGATGGTAACTTTGAGAGGGGTCCAAAAAGATCCCTTCGAGACCTTGCATCAAAGACAAAGCACTGACTAATTTACAATCACGTAGACCTCTTCTAAGCCACAAGTTCGAATCAAACCCTAAGGTAGAGCTTGAAGGAGTCATAAAGGAAGCAAGAGGCTAATCCCTCCGATTAGAGATGGCATAGATGAAAGGGAATTGCTCTTTACGAGTTGAATTACCCAACCAAACATGATCCCAGAAATTAACAAGATTACCAAAGCAAGGGTTATACCTGATAATGTGGTAAGAATGAAGGAAGGATAGCATGGATAAACTTCCAAGGAGAGGCTCTTGTAGCTCTAGCCAACACTCTAGAATCCCAACCATAAGGCACAAAACCATGAATACTGATTATTACCTTTGCCCACAATGCGTCCTTATATATTGGCAACCTCCAAAGCCATTTAGCAAGTAAAGCGACATTCCTTTCCTAGATATTCCCCAAACCTAACCCACTAAACTTCTTACTTCTACTAACTACTTCCCAATTAACTATGTAGTCCTTTTTCTCCTCCCTTGGATCCCACAAGAAATCCCTCATTAGCTTTTCTACCCTTTTGCTAACCCCTCCTAGAATCCTAAAGACAGAAAATAAACCAACAAATTGGCTAGAGTGGACCTTACTTTTTTTATCAGAAAAAATGATTAATTTATTCATGGGAGGTAAAAGTTACAACAGCTTGGGATCCATCCACCTGGAAATACAAATGTCCAGAAGCTAATTTACAATAGAGCCCAGAGTAACTACTACCTCAAAACCTTTACTAAAGTGCCATCCAACCCATTAGTTGTCCTATGTATCCACTTAAAGGCAGCATTCAGGACCTGAATACATAGCTAACACTTTACTTGAGGAGTCTCTAAATACACCACCAATACCTTCCATCCCCGGGTTTCCCATTGAACTCCCATCAAAATTTAATTCTCTTATCTCTTGCTAGTGGCTTCCATTCCATCATCTCTCTTTCCTTTTGTTTTGAAGAGTGAGCCACCTCATTCCAAGCCCTTATTATATCAATCGAAATAAAAGCAATGGAAAATGTCCAGGGTTTTTATCCAATGAGCCACTCAAATTTTTATTTTTCCACTAACTCCTCCTTTGACCTCATCTTCTCATTAAATATTCTTGCATTCCTCTCCTCCTAGATGGACCACACCACAGCAACTCTAACTGCCTCCACATTGTTCTTCCTCTTTTTGTTGATTGTCTTAGGAAACTTGGGCTGAAGAGGCTCACTAGATCCTAAGGATCCATCCACTTGTTCGGGCTTGCCTCAAGAGGCGTGGTCGGGGGTACGGGGGGAGAGCCCCCGGCCCAGCCGTTAAACTCAAATAGCTCCGAGAACCCCCTATTTGCTAATGTTGTCCATTCATTCATTGCAATAAAATATCTTCTTAAAAGACAAGGAAAGTTATAAAATCATTATTTTTTGTGAGAAATAGGAATTTAAGACCCTAACATAGACTTATTCGGGCTTGCCTCGAGGGATGTGGTACAAAGGCAACTCATAGAATCAAGAATGCAATACGTTTTACATCACATTAGCTACTTGAAGCAATGCAATTAAGGAGAAAAAGAGATTGTGGGTTTTATATGCTTGAAAATGCTTTATATGTTTGCTTTTATTTTTAAATTTTCATTTGAATATGCTTTACATGTTATGTTTATGTATTTTAATTTTAGATAATAGGTTTTTTAAAACATTTATTTTAAAATTTAAGTTTATATTTTTGATTAACATTATGTTTAATGTTTTTGAATCTTTTGCATTTTTTTTAATTTTTTGGCTTTTTTTTTAATTTTTTGACTTTTTTATTTGTTAGCTATTTTTTGTAACTTTGCACCTTTCTTAAAAAGGCGCGTGCCTCACCTTGCGCCTTACGTCTCAGGCGCAAATTGGCCCTTGCGCTTTTAACACAATGTAATGGACTTAAGTAAGATAAAGCCCATCAGGTAATCAGCCCTGCAATGGTCTCTTACACTTAACCTCGCGGCCCATAATGATCAAACAAACACTGCCCGACAGAGAAGGACCTCTCCCCTGGCTGCAAGGTGTAGTATCACACTCTCTACTCAGATGGATCCCAGGAATTAAAACCTTTTGCAAACATTTTTCATAAAACATTAATATATATCATATAAATATATTTTACGAAGCCAAATCTCAAACATAGTTGAAGTCCACTATCGGCAGTTTAGGTTTCCATCAAAGAGAGTGTAAATCCTATCATTCACTTTGTCTGACAAAGGGGCCGATCCTATCACTATGATCACCCACTCAGATGAATTCTCAGACTGCCCCAACATACCCAAGTTTTGACCCTTAATGGATATCTCACTAATTAGCCCAATCCAACACCTAGTGCAGTACCATAATCAAGTCTAGGGGTTATGTGTAACTTTCCAGTTTTGCCCATCAACCTCCAAGGTCTAGGGCATAACTAGAAAATGGTTCGGGTTTAGTGTTTCATCCAAACACACACTACATGTGTTTCAGGTCTAACCCTAGTAGCTGAGACAAACTGCCCCAACTTCTTTGGCAGCACATCAATGTCAGCTTTGGTAGGATAAACTTTTTTTTATCAATAACAGCAACTTTTATTAAGAAAAAAGATGATACAACAATACAATATGAAGGGAGGGGTAAAAACTCTTAACCCTCCCTAACATTAAAGATTAGATTACAAAAAAGCCCAAAAAAGACTTGCTCTTCCCACCCCTTGTTTGGCCAAAATGTCTACCAGAGAATTGGCACTCCTCTTGGCCCACTGAACCTGAATTTGCATGGTTTGAGTTATCTGGTTGATTTTCTTTTTTTCATTTGAGAACTTCCACAAACTAGAATCTTCCTTTTACAGCCAGCTAACAATCAGTCTAGAGTCTCCTTCCACCAACAGTTTGCTGATTTTCATCTGTTGGGCTCTTTTAATCCCTTTCAGAGCTGCCAAAATTTCATCTCTCAATGAATCCCCCCAGCCTATAGGTCCTAAGAACATGGCAATAATTCGACCTTCTTCATCCCAGAACACTCCACCTATACCCGAAGGGCCTGGGTTTCCTTCACTACTGCCATCAAAGTTCAATTTAATAAACCCCAAAGCTAGAGGAGTCCAAGTTGGACTAGGGGAAGTAGTCAAGGGAGCAAACCAAGCCACTTCTTTCCAATTTCTAATGATGTCTCTTGTTGAATAACCTTCAAATAACTTCATAGACTTGACCTAGTGAACCACCCTAACATATATTAATTCAATGATGGCTTCCTTGCTTTTTTCTTTCTCATGAAAAGTTCTTTGATTTCTTTTCTCCCACACTGTCCAGCATACAATTGCCCTTGGCAGGATAAACTCCCCAAGTCTATCCAACGGCTGAGAACATTCTAAACTAACACAAGTCTCATAAGTGTCCAATTTAAGGGGTAAGGGCATACATTATCTAACAAAGCCATGTTTTTCCAACCATATGTCTCCTAAAGATTGATTTAAAGTAGTCCACAAAAGCTTGGGCAATCTCATTTTGACGAGTCAAGGTAACTCCATCCACCATCCAATCTAGAAACAATTTTTTTCTTTATCCACCCATTTGCCAAAACATGCAAAAAAATCGCTATTCTTTTCCCCCTCCTTAAGCCAATTATTTCTTGATTTTTGTCTCCAACTAATCTCTTCTTTCAACAACAAATCTTCTAATTAACTACTTAAAGTCCATCTTTCTTCCCTATCCCTTTCTTTAAACATGCTCGAACTTTCTTTGAAATCCAAATCCTCAACTCTCTTTATTCTCTTGTTTCTTCCTTCTAATCTCCCAAACTAATGGATGTTCCACTCCTTGATTTTGACTTTAAGTTCCTTCAACTTCCAATGAAACCTCATTCTTTCCCACTTAACCCATGGATTGCTCCCCTCCCACCATTCCTTAACTTTATCTACAAAACCAGTTGAACATAACCACATATTCCCAAACCTAAACGGGGTTGGACCTGTTCCACACAAATCTTCCTTAAAAATCGAGATTGGCCAGTAGCCTGGGGTTACCCTAGGTAAAGCTCCAGAAACAAGGTCACCCCAAAGCTCCTCCTAATCCACTATGAATAAGAATCTATCAAATTTGGAGCAAATTGGGTTGGACTGCATGTTAGACCATGTGAAATTATTATAGGATAAAGGCAGTTCTTTAAGCTCAAAGGGATACACTGAAACACCAGATTTGACTTGGAGCTTAGCCATAACAGCTTCTTCTATCACTTCCCAGTCAGTCACCTTCTTCCCTGCTTTAACAATCAATCTCATTCCCAATCACCTTTGTCATTTTCCAAAAATACTCTGAATCTTGCTTGAACTTGCAACCAAAAACAGTTGTGAGATTTCTTCCCGCAAAGTGACTTCAGGCACTTTGTCCAGGTCTTGATAAGTTTTCTTAGAAGGATCACTATCATGTAGATTTTCTTGATTGGCCTCAGAAGTTTTACCTACCAGGGTTTCAGCTTTTTTCAGCAATAAAAAGTCTTGGAGCTTCTGTGCCATTAACCTCCAACCTAAGCCTTGTTTTCTTATAGAATACAGATCATTTGCTTTCTGTTATTACCAAAAATCTCCGAAACCCCACACACCACCCTTTTTGGTTACACTTCAAGACTGCCTGATACCTTCTTCTTGGAAGCTCCAAAGAATTCCTCCAACCATTATTCTTAACAGAGAGAAGAGCTCCACCGATGAAGCCTTTCAGCCACGGTAATGCTTATCCTATTAAGAATATAGAGGCCCTTCCTTCCTCTCTAATATTCAACACCAGTTGGCTCCAATTCTTCCCTTCATGCAAAAAGAACTTCTCTTCAAGCATCAACTCACCTTTCCATCTTCTCACCGGTACGAAGGATCCCTCTTGCTTCTCCATTTCAAGACAGTAAGTGCACGCACACAAGGCTGTAGATTAGCTGAACTGGTAAGATGTAAAACTTTCCTTTTGAGATCTTCCCAAGAACTAGATTGTTTCTCAAAAACTCCCTTGTTCTGTTCCTCTCAAATACACCACATACCAGCATGAATATTCATTCTCCAGAAAAGTATTATCAAAATTTTCTTTTTCATCAATGTGGTATAAACAAAACACTGAATTACATGGATGACTGTAAGGGAATCATAATGACCATAAATCCCTAAAGGGCAGAGCAGCCCAGTGCAAGAGGAATAGATGTACGCAGACTTACCCTTGCACAAACAGAGAGACCGTTTCCAAGAAATGACCATAAACCCCTGCTGACTCAAAATCATTCACTTAACTAAGAAAATATAGTTCTTGTACAGAAAATGAGAGAAAAAAACAATGATAAACCACTTAAGAAATACTAGCATAGTCATAACAAAAACCAAACTAGATCTGAGAATATATCATTTCAGCTGATAAGAAAATACGTGAGAGGAAAAAAATTTGTTGCATACCTCAAGCTGGACACGCATGGCCTCCAACAAACCAGCCATTCCTGGGGCACGTTGAGATTGAGGTACAACATAGTCACTTTTGCTATGAGCAAGCTTCCTCATCAATCTGGACCTTTTCTCTTTCTTCTTTTCTTTGGATGGCACAATGAGGCCCCTGCATAAAGTGGATTTGACAAGAATATACAAGTCAAGATCTTAAAGAGCACAAATAAAAGAAAAGAGATAAAACATTAAAGACATGGAACAATGAGAAAGAACAGATAAGATCCTAGAGCTAGAAGCATACCCTGCAGCCCCAGCAGAAGCCAGGAGGACTTCATATGCTGTTTCACGGAGGTCATCATCTGCAATACCTGCCAGAGAAAATAAAAGAAAAAGAAAATTTAAAATTAAATGGTTAAAAGGAGTCCATCCTATTTAAGTTCACATTTCATGCTTTGGTCAATTTGCAAAAGTTCTAAGGCAGCAACTTTTTGTTCATACAAAGTCCATGAATTTAGGCTCTGTTTGGTTTGAAAGAAAAGGTAGGGACGGGGAAACCTATACTACTTTTCCCTTCCTTTTCCTACCTTTCCTTTCAAACCAAATACAGCAGTAAAGAAAATATACATTGATTTCTATATAATATAGTATCACATAATGCCACTTCCCCTTGTGATATCCACCATCATGGACTTATGCCAATAATATGAAGTCAACTACAGGAGCTTGAAATGACAGATCAGAATTCATATGAAAGGTTTCCCACTATAAATATCATTAAAAATTCAGTATAGAACTCAAATACCAGCAACTCCTTAAATCAGCTCCATTATGTGAAAAGAATTCCAGTAGGGTAGTAACCCATCATGCACACAATATCGCTCATACATTTCTTTCCATAAGTTTAGGATCCAAAGAAATAGGGAAAAGATTCTCCTAGGCATTCCACTAAATCTTAGCCAAACTTACCTGTTGCAAAAGAAGGCAATCCTAACACAAGATCACCGGCATTAATTGGATTCCTTCTTGAAGTCCTGAGACTGCTAACTTCCTCATCATCGTCATCATCCTCAAAATCTTCAATGTCGTCAACAGATAGTTCCTGAAGGTGTGTTGAGTGGAGGGACTGTGATTTTGATAGGCTTGACATAATGGGTGAGGGTGTGTAGATAGGAATCGGTGGTGGTGCCCTTCTTGGAGGTGAACCTGAATAATCCGGATTTGTAACCAAAAAGAATTCATCGGTAGAACCTGTATTATTCTGAAAGAACAAGATGGGTTGCAATCACATTATTAATCAAAAAGAAAACAAATTGTAACTATCAGCAGCACAACACAACGATACAATGAAAAACTGCAAGAAGCATGAAGACACATTATAATAAATATGTCCTAAGATATATGACAGCAGATAACCATTTTTTGATAACAAGGAAAATTTTGTTTAAATAAAAGAAGGATGACGGTAGAAGAGTAGATAATAAGAAACATAGTAAAAAGAGAAGAAAAACGTATACAAGGGGTATATGGGGCAGAGGCACCAAAAGAGAAGCAGAAATAATCCATCACAAAGAAGCAGTCCCTCAAAAAAGGACTGTCCTCGAGTACAATAGACCTTAGTCCCAAAAATCAACCCCAACAAGACTAGTCTTGAAAATTTGAAGATCACCCCAGCACCCCATGTCACTCAAAAAACCAGCTTCTGACAGTCTATTTCCAGAACAAGAGTCATAGTCTTATCAACCTCTTAGCAGACCACCATCACTAATTCCAACAGCCTACTTCGCTATTGAGGATTTTGCTGTCATTAGCTCGATTTCATCTTTGATAGCTTGTTCCTTATTTGTTTTTATTTAATTAATTAGGCTTTCTTGATGGTGATCAATGTAGCCCTAGATCAGTGAACTGCTTGAGGGAATAGAGTGTCGATCGGTTCTCTCTGGATTGCCTAATTCTTGGATTTTTTTGTGGGGTTCAGTCATCAGGAGGGTGATTTGTGTTTAGGCATCAAAATCAGGAAGAACTGAAGTGATGGGAAGAGTCTTAGTTTTTTTTTGATAAATGAGAGTAATTTTATTAATTCAAATAACGAAAACACAATCAGCCTACGAAGAGGCACGAGATGTTACCTCTCCCGAGGACTGAATCATATACACTAAACATGCCCAAGCCTGAAACACAAATTACAAAGTAGCCCAAAACAGATCTCCCCTTGACACCCCTTGCTTGGCCAGAGAATCAGCCATTGCATTTGCTAATCTACTGACCCACTCAAACCTGACAGCCATATTTCTTGTTATCCATTTAACTTTCTTTAACAGATCCCTGTAGCCCCAACAAGCTGTATCTGGGCTATTCAGCCAGCCCACTACTACCTTGGAATCCCCTTCTACTAATAAATTGTTCACTCCAATTTGACTAGCCATCTGTATGCCTTGTACCGCTGCTAGTAACTTTGCTCTTACAGAATCACCTTTCACCCACTGATCCTGAAAAAAGAGGCAACATATTGTCGTCTTTGTCTCTCAGAATCCCACCAATTCCGGATGGCCCTGGGTTACCTTGGCAGCTGCCATCAAAATTCAATTTTACCACTCCATCTGGTGGGGGTTTCCATTCAACTTGTGATTTCTTGGTGAAGACTATAGAATCCATTGCTTCCCAGTTTCTCCTTAAGTCATCAAAGGAGAAATCCGCCAACAATTGTGAAGATTTCAACCATGAGATTGTCCTTGTCAATATGCATTCCTTGATTTCAGCAAGACTTCTTTCCTTTTCTTGAAATATTCTAGCATTTCTCTCCTCCCATAAAATCCACAAGGTAGCGGCTTTGATACATTTCCACATTAGCTTCCCTCTTTTTGTCAATCTCCCAAGAGCAGCCAGAGTGAACAGCAGCTTTACTTCAAAGGGCAAGTTCCACCTACACCCAAATAAGAAAACAACCCAGTTCCAAATATTGGCAGCAAAGGAGCACGATATTAGCAAATGGTTACAGTCCTCACCCATCACTTAACACATAAAGCACCAATTTGGGGACAGACACATAAAAGGTTTCTTCTTTTGCAAGTTTTCCACAGTATTGATCTTACCATAATAGGCTTCCCAATAAAACACTGCTATTTTGGGGGGTGTTGGCCTTGACCAAACCTCTTTAACAGGGAAGACCTGATAGGAAGGGTTAGAGCAAAGGGCTTTAAAGAAAGATGCACAAGTGAAGGAGCCAACCGGGGTTAGGGCCCAGACTCTTTTATCTAGGTTAGTCAGGTCCAGACACACCGAATCTAGAAGCAACAAAACCTCTGAAACACAATGAAATTCCTCATCCCTTAACCCTCTTTGAAACCCAAAATCCTAGTTTAAAGACAAAAGGCAAACCGGGGGGGGGAAGGAACCATGAAATGGGTTTCTTTTTAAAGAGGGAGATGGAATAGAGAGAAGGGAAACGGTCTTTTAGGGGTCGAGTGCTCATCCAAGTATCTTCCCCAAAAAGAATGGAGTTTCCAGAACAAGCATTGTACCTTACAAAACTGAGGAATTTAGGGAGAATGCCAGAGAGGCAAAGATAGCCTTCCAAGGTGTTGTGAGCAAAGCCCTTTGGGATATCCCCGCATCACAACTTGATTCAGAACAGCCATGGATACTTTTCACTACTTCATGCCATAACCTCTCCCTCTCCAGGGGCCACCTCCAAAGCCACTTACCTAAAAGAGCCTCATTCTTACTCACCACATTCCCTAAGCCTACGCCTCCTTTTTTGCTCCGACTCACCACTTCCCACCTAATCAAGTGATCTTTTTTCTCTTTTTCAGGTTCCCATAAGAAGTCCCTCATCGGTTTTTCCAACCTCTTTGCCTCCCTTTTAGGAATTCTAATGACTGACAAAAAGTATAAAGCCAAGTTGGCTAAAGTCGCTTTAATCAAAGTAACTATATCACCCACGGAAATATAGTTTCTATTCCAAGCTACCAACCTTTTTTCGAATTTTTCCACCACTGGGTTCCAGAACCTACTTTCCTTTGAATTTGCACCTAATAGAAGTCCTAGGTAGGATAGAGGCCACTGAGAGCAAGTGCTTTCTAACAAGGCTGCCATAGACTTCATCTCCTCTCTGTTCAAATGAACTCCCACAACACAGCTCTTCTCAAAATTTACCTTCAAATTTGAGGCCCTCTCAAAATGAATTATTAAATCCTTCAGATTCCTTACCTCCATCAAATCACAACCTTCGCAAAAGATAATTATGTCATCTGCAAATTGGAGATGGGTTACTGGAACTCTATCTCTACCTATTCTCCGCCCTCTTAGAGATCCGGCTCTATTCGCTTCTAAGAGGAGTCTACTAAAAGCATCAACGACTAAAGTGAAAAGGAAAGGTGACATGGGATCACCTTGTCTCAGACCCCTACTAGCTAGGAAAAAATCAGTAACTACCACGTTGACTAGGACTGAATAATGGCAATTGGAAAGGCAACTGTTTATCCATTTGCACCACTTATCCCCAAACCCACACTTCCTTAGCATGAGTGATAAGAATCCCCAATCCAAGAAGTCATAGGCCTTTTCAAGATCTAGTTTACAATTATAACCTTGACGCTCTGATTTCCTCATCTCCTCCACACATTCATTTGTTATTAGAATCTGATCTACAATTCGTCTCCCCTGAACAAAAGCTCCTTGCACTTGGCTAAAGACAAGGAAGCACCTTTTTTATCCTCAACTATAAGACCTTGGACACAATCTTATAAACACTTGTAACCAAACTGATAGGTCTAAAGTCCTTTGGATGCTTGGCCTCTTTCTTCTTGGGAATTAAGGCTAACAAAGTAGTATTAATTCGCCAACTCATCACTGGATTATTCTCAAATTCCTTGAAGACCTCAATTAAATTTTCTTTGACTACATCCCAACAATCTTGAAAGAAATCCATTGTAAACCCATCTGGTCCTGGTGCTTTAGATCTGTCCATGGAAAAAATGGCTTTTCTAATTTCTTCCTCCTCAAAATTCCTTTCCAGCCAGCTTTTAATCTCTTAGAAGCCTCTGCCAAGTCACACCTTCCAACTCCACACTAGGGATTAGGGGCTCCTTAAAATGGATCTGAAATGGTCAACAAAACAATTGGCTATCCTCTCTTGAGTATCATAGACTATTCCATCCGCTTCTAGTTTGGACACTAGGTTTTTCCTTCTCCTTCCATTGGCTAGGTCATGAAAAAATTTAGTGTTCCCATCTCCTTCCTTAATCCACTTACATCTAGACTTCTGCCTCCAAGAAATTTCTTCTCTCAAAATGATTTTGTTTAACTCTCTTTTTAGATTCCATCTCCGATCTCTATCTTGAGGACTTATGGCTCTTTGGGATTCCTTCGCATCCAGTTCCTCTATTTGGGTCAATAGAGAGAATTTTATTTCTTCTATTCTCCCAAAATGGTCCCTATTCCAATCCTTCACATATGCTCTCAACCGTTCTAGTTTTTTGTGAAATCTTACCCCTTTCCACTTCACCCCCCTAAGGTCTTCTCTCCACCATTCCTCAACCTTCATTTTATTGGAAAACGGTGATGGGAAGAGTCTTAGTTGAGTTGGACTCTTTATTTTTGACCCAGTGAAGGGCACTCAGGTCTTTCTAATGTTATTAGTGGCAGGGGTATTCCTGTCATTTCTTTTTCTGCACCCTTTTCTTCTATTCTTTTGTCCTCTGCCCTCTCTTCTCTTCCTCCTCTGTTCTTTTTCTTTCTTCTTTTCTGGTTTTCTTTGCTAAAACAGGTTTGAACCCCCATCGGTTACAGACAACTTTTTGTATATTCCTAATTTACAGTCATCTGGTTCACATAGTATGATGTATCTATCATACAATTTTTGAAGCTAATGCAATACTATATACAACCATGCATAATGAGTCACAGCTTACCGTGGATGGAAATCCAATGCTATCATGGTAATCCCGAATAGCTTCTGATAGTTCAAGCGTTTCACCTACAATAAAGAAATATTTATTTAGGTATCAAGTTACTAATACAATTTTTCCAAGAAATTAATTAGTTTTTAAGATAAATAAAAAAGCAAATTTACTAAGTACAATTTTTCCAAGAAATGTAAGTACTTGAGATGGTATATAACCTTTTCTAGCACAATTGAGAACATAATCAATACTGATTTGATCTAGGTCCACATCATCTAAGGAAACTGCACCCGGGGGCATTATAACTTTCTTAATCAAGCTACCAGACAATATGAAATTAAGAAGCACACGCCTGTCACGCCGATATCGCTGTAGAAGCTCAAGAGCATTTTCCCTACATTCATAAAAAACATTTTTTAAAATAACATTTTCTGGATATCTAAGATAAATAGAAGCACAGGATATAAGATAGAATGCATACTCTTCCATGTCTGACATAGGCAAGTCACTGATTATTGAATGAGTTCAAAATTTTAAGCAGTAATTTCACAGTGCAGCAGCACTATCTCCACCACCTGAAAGTAATGCTCTTTTCATATAATAATAACAGAATAAAATGTAGAAAAGAAGAGAAAGAAAAGGACAAAAAGAGTTTACAAGGAACATGCAGGTCAACTGGTGCAAAAGGGCATAGATCAAAGAGTAACAGAAAAAAAAAAAAAAGGAGCCATGTTGCTAAACCAGAAAAAAGGGCAGTCTGGTGCACGAGACTCCCGCCAATGTGGGGTCTGGGGAGGAACAAAATGTACGAATCCTTACCCCTGCAGACACATAGAGGCTGTTTCCAAGATTTGAACCCAGGTCGCAATGGAGCAACCCAACCGTCGCACCAAAACCCTAAACTAAAACCGCACTTAATGAAAAGTCATGATAACCTCAGACACTTAGGCAGCCAGGACAAATAAGCACCACAAAGCCCCAAAGTGTCACAACCCATGACCAGGATCGAGAAATCACAACTGAGAAACCACCCAACCTCCAATAAGCCTGCCATGGCACCACCTGCATGGACTCCCAACCTATGTTGCATGGACACATCCAAATTGGTGCTAATGTTGAAGTGTCCATGTCAGACAGTTCCACTTTTACTGCACGTTCTGTGTCAAAGGCCTTACCATGACCATGTCCATGTAACATAGCTCCCAGAAGAAAACAACCACACAAACACCAAAGACACACCCACCCAAACGACAACCCAACAGAGCCTTTCATTTCTTTTAACCTCTAGAACCCTTCATCACAGTAGTAGAGTATATCCATTGCAAGGGGCCAACATCCTCTTCAGCATATAGGGACTTTTGTTGCATAGCTTACAATTGCTTCAAGTGAAATCTTGGTTGACACTAAGGTATATGACTATTTGTCTCTATTATCAAGCTTATTCTTTCTTAACATACATATTTTTGCATATATAATATAATGAACTTGTATTACAATAAGAAATGTTAGAAATGAATAACAGTGCCTTAAATCTCATACAACAGTAAAATAAATTCATCCAGGCACAAACAGAAATATATCAGTTAACAAGTCACCAACCAGAATATCTTGAAAAGCAATACATGATCCATAAAGAACATAGAAAACCATAAAATTAAAATAAAATAAAATACAGCAGCAAAAAATTCGAAATAAATGCATCAGATCATTCATCTTCCACCAAAAAACTTTCAAACGCAACAAATTAGCATAACTTTGATTTACTGATTAATACATATACTAGTAAAACAATGAAGAAAGAAGTACAATGGATGTGATTAAAGGAAAATACTAGTGCAAAAATATTTCACATTGACAGAGATGAAGTTTGGATGAAAAGTGGTTAAGAAAGTGGAAAGAATCACAATAAGTATATTCCAGTTACCATTAGAAAAAATCTAATCCAACATATTTCATTTTTCTATATACACCCTCAAGACACAAGAGTATATGCCAATGCTTCAAAATATCCTTACAAATTACAATCACAAATTGATATCAATTCATCTTATGTTGAAATTCTTTCTGTTAGAGATATAAATGTATAAGGAATAGAGTGAGCAGCAGGGTAGGTCTGTCCATTTAATATAAATTACTTAAGAAGGGGTATTCTGGTCATTAGGCTTGTAAGACAGTTTTCCATTGTAAGTCTGCCTTTACACTGCAAAATCTTGTTGCACAACTAAATTTATCATACTGTATCATCAAGCAAACATTGTAGCTCTGTGACTTAACTGTACAATTGAGTGGCTTTTCATCCATTTTCTTTTTAAGTGCCTATAGTGTTTTGTTCCTCACTAAGGATATCATATCTGACTACAATGTAAGGCGAGCCAAGTTAATACATCTTCTGATTTCAGTTGCATCTTCAACCAGTATTCAGTGTTCAACAGCATATCTCCATACTAAACTCAGCATTCCAGGGAATAAAGCAGCATTGCGGTTATCAGAGAATTAGTCATACAAAACAGAACAAAAAAAAAAAACTCAGAAGAAACAGAATCATCATCAATTCAAAAGAACAACCACGAGCCTCATGTCCCAGTAAAAGAACGATCCAAATTACAGAGAAATCTTTACTTGAATCAACCAATTGAACAACAATTAACAATCTTGAATCCAAATCAAACAATGAAACAATTAAAAAAGACACCTTAGACTGCGCAGCACTTAATTACCATGAGATCAACCAAAACACTGCAAATGCAACCAAATCAGTATAGTTTGAACGGAAGCACGAAACTAATTATGACAGATAAGATATTCATTGCACCAATTATTAGGATCAGTAGCTAAAACTAAAAATACGGCACCTCTAACTAGAGACTTTGCTCAGAAGCGAAATGATGAAACGGAAGAAAATGGGGGGAAGGAAAGCTACAAAGAAGCAGAAATCCAACAGAGAAGATCTAGGTAAGGCCGAGATTTGAGCTGTGTCGAAATCGGACTTGGTTTTGTATTTTTATATTTTTATTTTATTGGTAAAAAAATCGGGCATGGTAAAATAAAATAGCCAATTTTTATGGTACCGAAAAGACATGGTGCCTGAATTGGATTGGGTGTTTGGAAAAAACAGCCTATGCTTTCTGCCCATGACATGTTATCTCAATTGATTCTTTATTTCTCTTTTTATTAAAAAATATTGATTGCAATTACTCTTTAACCCCGAACCCGTACCAATGTCCACGACTCCAAGCAATTTTTCCGAACAGTCAAGCCAAGCCCTAAAAAGTAAAAACAGTCTGAGATGTATGAAGCTTCCTGCGATCCATGTGAATTGATTGAGACTCATTGAATAATTGAATACCAGTTAATTGCTTACCAATTGAACGTATCGACTGCTGTTTTGGTGGGTCTCTCACTCACCCTAAAAAGCTTTCAAATCCTGATCTAAAAAGCTTTAAAAAGAGAGAGAATATATATAAAGAAGAATGCACACATAATATGTTTTCTGAATCCGAATTGGTGGAGAGAAAACAAATATCTTCACGTTTGTTTTCTTCCTTCCGTCCATAATTTCTTACCCTTTCTGTTCTTTTCAAAAACAACCTTCAAAGCTCCTCTTTTTAAAGCTCAGATGGACAAGAGATTGAGAAGCTCTGTTTTCGTTCTCCAAAGCCCAAGAGCTCTTTGAATGCTTTCGTCTTACTCTTGAAATGATAAATACATAAAACATGGAGCTTCAGGACAGACAAAAGCCTGCTTAAAACTCGTCGGACTACCAGCAAGACTCCAGCAGATAAAAAAGATTACTTGCCGACCGGCGAGGTGAGCTCGAGTCTGGGTATGTTGCTGTAACCTGTAAGAGAAGAAGAGATCTGTGTCTGTGAAGAATAGTCAACATGGCTTTCCCAATAAAGAAGGGCAGTGATGTCATTTTGATTCTTTTTTTTTTCTTTGATAAAATACAGAAAATTAAACGCGGGTAGAAAGCGTCGGGCAAGCCCTGTTGAGAAAGCACTCCCAAACGCAGCCTAAAAGTTGAGAACTCTCGCGTAGCCGCGCTCTGTAATAAATGAATTAGACGGATTTCAAGGCTGAACCTTGTGAAAGTATTTGTTTTAAGAAATTTCAGGGAGAAGAATAGAAATAAATGGACTCACTGTGATTTTTAACTATGGAACAAAGGCAATAGTTGATTTTGTGTAAAGGAGTTTATTGAGATCTAATTTCTTTGAATTAAATTTTTTGGATGTTTGCGTGATTGATTATATAGAGTTATAATAATTTTCCAAAAAAAATGAATTTTTCACTAAAATTCATTTTTTTCTTTTCCATACCTTGTACCATGTCGAAAGGTTATGACTTTTCTGAGTTCGTTGAGACTACTACTTACACTTCCGGGGAGGAAGAATATAATCCAAGGTTTTAAAACCGAATTGGACAATGAACCGTTTGGGTCCAGTTTTGGGGTTGAATGGTCTAATCGTTCAGATTGAATGGATGGTCCGTTTTAACAAAAAAAAAATTAAAAAAATGGCCAAAAATTATTTTACAGTAATTCACTAATCAAATCAACGGTTTTTAACCAAAAAGCGATTTTCGGATGTACAATGCAACTAAGCAATTTAAAGATGCACTTTGCTACACATCGGAAATGTTGAACAATGTCCATTGATCCTTTTCTTTAATCAAACAATTGTCACTTGATAGACTGTGCCCATTCAAAAACATGATTGAAAATCGTGATTGGATAAAAGCCTCCTCATAAAAACATAAAAAATTTCAGAGTAACATTTTATAATATATAAAACAAGATTAAACCAAGACGTTTTTGCACACCATAACACATTTATATTGTCTCTCTTAATTAAAGTATTATTGTCTTGTACAAAGTTTTCTTAGAGACTTCTAAACTTCACCGGTTGTAATTTCTCATTCGATGTTGTATGCTTAAAAACATGGGTGTCAATGGACCGATTTTGGATTGGATTTGACAGACCAATCCAAAATCAATTTGGATGGATTGGACCAATCAACCAAACATATTGAATTGAAGAAATCTAGACTTAATGTTCTAAAGTATTTATTTGATTGGATTGGACCTGGTCCATCTGTAATGAATTTATATTGGATTAGGTTGGACTGAGCCAATATCCCATCTATTGATAGAAGATAAGAATATAAGTGTCAATGGACCCGGTTTGGGTATAGAACCAATCTAAATTAAAACAAAATTGAACAGATTAGATTGTCCATACATTGAATTGGACTGGTCCAAAATGGGCCAAAATATTCAATTGATTGGATTAGACCCAATCCAAAATGAACAAGTGAGACCATGGTTTTTGTAACCACTAGTAAGTGTGCACATTCCACATGGTACTTTTTGATGATGATGATGATGGTGGTGGTGGTGGTGGTGGTGGTAAATAATATGTTTCTAAAATTTTCTATAATTTTTTTATATTTCTATGTTGATAAAAATTATTCTTATTTGTCATATTTATTTTTGTTTAATATGATGAATATACAATATTAGAGTAATACCCAAATGTTTTCTACAAATCTTTTCATATTTTTTATATTTGTGTATGTTTTCATCTTTTTAATTAGGACATAAGGATTGACACATTTATTCCATAAAGTTGAGACAAGTCATGGATGATGGTAATGATGATGATCTAGGGTTTTGACCAAAATGTAGAATTGTTAATTCCCCCACAAAATAGGAAAAACAACTCCATTTCTCACACTTATTTTTGTATAATATGAATATAGTTGTCAATTGATCGAGTTACAATTAGTAAAAGAAAAGCAACGATACCATTGAAGAACACATCCATATTTCCTAGGGATGAACATGGGTTGGTTCAATTTGGTTGCAAGGTAAAACCTACCTACCCTACAAGGGTTGGTTCTAGGTTCTTAGAATAGGAACCTACCTTGTCAAGATCGGTTTCAATGTCAGTTTCTGGCCTTGGTGTTTCCATGGTTGATTTAGGGCCGACCAATGGAAAATGTTATTTCTTAACACCCCCCAAATGGAACTTGTTGTTTAAAACTTGATTTTTATAATAATAATAATAATAATAATAATAATAATAATAATAATAATAATATATACTTTCCTTAGTTCTTATATAGGCCATAAAAGTTACATCAGATTCATTAACATATAATAAAAGAGAGTTTCATGCTTTCTCTTTTAAGGTGTTTCATCCATGATTTTTTGTTTTTTCAAAATTAGCCCTTAATAAGTCAAGGACCTCCCATCCTTTTTTACAAATTTACCCTTTCATCTTTACCATACATTACTAACACATAGTTCACAACTTGTCATTATAATTTAAATTTTATAAATACTACCTTTTACATTACATACTATACACATTCAAATACTAAGTTAAAGAAAAATGACCAAATCACTTAAGTGATTCAATGGTTAAGTGAGACTATGGTTTTTGTAATCACTAGTAAATGTGCACATTACACATGATATTTTTTGATGATGATGATAGTGAATAATATGTTTCTAAATTTTTTTTTTATATTTCTATATGGATAAAATTTGTTCTTATTGGTTACACTATTTTTTATTTAATATAATGAATATATGGTATTGGAGAAGTACCCAAATGTTTTCTAGAAAAAAATGTTCATACGTTTTATACTTTTATACGCTTTCTTCTTTTTAATTATGACATTTAGGGTTGACACATTTACCCCATAAAGTTGAGATAATGCATGGATGACGATAATTTAGGGTTTTGACCAAAAGGCTCAATTGTTAATTTTCCACCAAATAAGAAAACCAACTCCATTTTAGGTTGATTTTGAATTTACATTTCTATATTTGAAAAATTTGTTTAGGTTTGTCATACTTACTTTTTGTTTAATATGATGAATATACAATATTAGAGATGTACCTAAATGTTTTCTATAATATTTTTTTTATATTTTGTATACTTTTAAATGTTTTCATCTTTTTAATTATGACATCTAGGGTTGACACATCTGCCCCATAAAGTTGGGATAAGGCATGGATGATGATGACAATGATCTAAGGTTAATACATCTGACCAAAAGGTTGAATTAATAGCCTAAATATAAGACTTCATGCATGATAATTGAGTGAGGAGAGATGTAATAGTTCAAATTACATTTTGTGACATTATATTTAGAGAGGGACAAAATTCAAAAATAGGGGCATTTAGTTAAGAATATGATTCAATAAATTTTAATAGGAATTAATATTTTAAACATAAGACTTAATGAGAGGGATTTGAATGTAGAGAAAAGTGGTTGTTCAAATTACATTTTTATCCTTGAAATTAGCGAGACAATTATAGTGAAACAAAAGTTATATATTGTCATTCACACTTTTAATAATAGTATAAATATAGGCTGGTGCTTGCATTCAAACTTTCATGTCCTAAAATTATTTTGGAGTTTATATCTATGAATTCGGTTCCAAGGTCGATACCACCAAAGCTAACCAAGGTTGGTTTTCCAGGCTGGTTTAGATAGGGTAAACTCCTAGACCCTAATATCGGTTTGGTGGGGCTTTTGGTTCCCAAAATTTATAACCAAACCCTACCAAATAACAGATTAGGAAGGGGCACTTAAAGGTTGGTTCTATTTTATTTCGAATAGAGCATATCCATTTGCTCACCACTAGTCCATCCTAACTATTCACACCACTACCAGAACCATCACCTCTTTTTATCTTCCTTATTACTAGGTCATCATTTAAGTTTGTTTCTTATGTGTATAAAAATCAAAATAGACAAATCCTCTTTTTTGTTTTTTCTTTTACATGTAACACTCATTGATAATAAAACAAAAATTGTCTCATACCCATATAAAAATCCTTAATACGTACCCATACTAGTTTAGCTACAAAATTGGATTTTTTTTTCATTCAAGTGTAGATTTTTGTGCATGTGTGTGGGAAATATGTTGTCAAAATCTTGTGCAAAATTATTTAGTCTCATTTCAACTAGAGTAGATTTTCCAAAAAT